AACAGACTTATCAGCCATTACATCTTTTTTTTTAATCACTAGGACTTTTTTTCCTACCAATTCTTCTCAGTCATGTAAGCCCACATTTGCATGTTTGCTCATCCCTTTTTTCATTCCCCAAACCTTGAATCTGTTAAATTTGTCTCCATATTCTCTATCTATTCATCAATTCTTTGTCCGATCTATTCATGTCCTTCTACTCTAAGGACCCTCCAGGCCGTCAGGATCCATTGCTATTTTCAAAAAAGAGAGCTGATTTCTTCTTTCCCGCTGCTTTGAGATTGACTGTGCAGTGAGTGAATGCTGCACAATCAAAGTGCATCATCTGGGCCACTTGTTCAGCAATCGAAAAGCTACACTTTCCATCATCAGCCTGATTCATAGGCAGGAAATGTCTTGTGGTTGCTTGCTCAGTGACTGTTTTTTTTCCTTCAAATGTGCATGTAAATGTGCATCTTTGCACATCTGTGTGCATAGGAAAGTCTTGTTTTAGTCTCCTTTTACACATACTCTTTCCCTACTGTGACTAGTTATCACACGGCTTCATATGTGTTCACATACACACACTCAGACACAGACAGACACACTTAAAGGATATTACCCACAGGTGCAGAATCCCTTGCAGAGCGAAGCCATCGTAAATCAGACATGATTGAGATGTAAAACCGATGTTCTCCTTCTTTTACAACCCCTAGTCATTCCAGTGCAATGTGGCCAAGTTTGTATGTTTTTCTAGGAGACTCGGGAGCTGTTAAAAAAGCCCTATGTGGAAAAAATCAGTAAAACTTTTTTTTTTTTATGTACTCAAAGATTTGCATGATTGTCAGTGTACTATGGAAGTTTTATGTCAGTTAAATGATTCACAGCTCATAAGAGGCACTGTAGCAGTTATTTAATTTTACACAGAAACCTAATGTAAAAATATGCTGGCTGTGAAATCATCATCTTGCAAAAGCTAGTCATGCTGTAGGCTTTTATGTATTATCTCAGGTGTCGAGAATTTAGCTTTTTATATGTTTTTTTTTTTACAAACTATTTTAATGGAAAATGTAGCTTAATATTAGCAGAATTTCATACTGGTCAAGTCATTCAGTGATCCGGTGTGGCTGGGGGCATTGTGGTCACTTAAACCAGGACAGAAAAGTTTCATCATGGAATGAAACTTGTACTAAGAACATGTTTGTATTGATTTGCTGTTATTCTCCTTTCTATGTTTAGTTATACCTATGAAATGCGAAAAGGGGCATAAATCAACGTTAAAATTTTTAAAAAATAATGGTTTGTTTCTACTTTAACATGACATTACTGAAGCAAATGAAGTTCCAAAGATATGTCTAACTCATTTTACAATTGCACAAAATCATTTGTGAATTATTTTGCAACAATTATTTTGAAAAACCAAAACCACCAGTATATACTGAAAGATACTGACACTCTCGAATGTACTTATCTGTGAAGAAAGTCAGTATCTCAGAAAAGCAATCTGTGGAAGTAAAACTGTTACTATAGGAAAAATTTAAAAAATAAAAAAAAAGACAGTGCATAGACTACTGTTCTATCAAATCACATAGTCATTTTACCTTACTTGGATAATTTTACATACCTTCACTTAAAAAGTGTTTATTGGAAATAAAAAAGTAAAGAAAAGTAGAAAGTAGGGCCAGTAAGCATCTTAACAGAACAAAATGGTAGTAAGGATTATTAATGTCTAGTATAGTGTGCCCAGAGGAAGCACAGGTCACTGGGTGTGAGGGGGAGAGGAAAAAAGATGGAAAAGAAGACTAAGAAAGAAGCGAAAGAGTCATAGTTTAGTGATGTCAAGGGAGAGACAAGTCTTTGTAGGTTTTTCTGTAGGACAGGAAAACTATTAATCTGTCAGGGCAGATGAAGGGTGTGGGGGAGTGCCCGGAAAGATGGAAGGAGCAGAAAGAATGTAGGGACCAAAAGAAAAAGAGATGGTCCCCACATAGAGAAGAGAGAAGATAGGACAAGCTGCTGGATTGCAAGGCTGTGGGGAAGGGAAGGGGGTGGAGGAAAATAGATAAAATAGGTTCAGAGTGGGAATTATAGTAAGGAGAGAGAAAGAGAGGGAGAAATTAGAAAATATGTGTGATGAAGCAAGACCTCACTGACCAGAGTCAGGCTTGAACACCATCAATCTGCCCCAAAACGTCACCCTGAGGAGCAACAGATCACACAGAAGGACAAAAGATAGAGGAAATGGAAACAGATGGAAAGAAGGGGGAGCTGAGATACAAGAGGGATGTAGAGTGCAATGGAGTGGGTGAAGGTGAGACAACAAGAGGGAAGTTAAGTTTAAAGATTTGTTTTTTTCATCAAGACTTTGCAAACTGATAAATTTGTAGTCACATAAGGTTGACTGAGAGTAGACCAAATAATGTGCCCTCCACACAGATAACAAGAGGAAATGATTACCCATGCACAACAAAATGTGAAAATGTGTAGTGCATGGGGGCAGATATATTAGGAAATTTCTTAGCAGTGCTACTAGAGAAGCCCTCCTATATTTACATTTTCTTTTGTTGTAAGGCACACTTGTATCAAGATGCAGTGCTTTCCAATGGACAGATAGTGTACAAGATGAACTCAGTGCGAAGAAAAAAAACTGTGAAAAGTAGAAGTGGAGTTGTTAAGCACACTAATTAGATTAGAGGATGCATGGATCCACTGCACAAAATCATCAGCGCTGTCACTTGGTGTTCATTCTCTCTGTGGTAGAGTATCACTTCCTGTTCCTGTTACAACACAGTGTTTTTGTGTAGCTTATCTGCATAGGAATTTAATTAAAAACTTTTAGATAACTTGTAATTTCACTGGGTAATCTTCACATGCTTCATCCGAAGCACAATCTCTTTGTATTCACTCGCTAATTTATAGTCTCAGTACTCACTCACTGGTTTCGCTAGCTTATATTAGCTAGCCGACTCGCTAGCAGCATGACCTCTTTATCTGTCCCTGCTGCACATTTTTTCTCTTTGTGTCAGATTGTCACGGTCTGCAGAGACAGGCTGTGCGGTGGTGTGTGTAATTGACCCAGGTGCGTACACAAGTGAGTAGACGGCAGTGAACTTAACAGACCTTTATTATGGCTGAAGACAAAGTGTACAAACAAAGCAGGGATAGCGTGACTAGACTATAACTAAACTGGGAAAACTAATACTGTGACAAACTAAGAAAACTCAGAGACTAAAATGATCACTGAAAAGACTGACCGTGAAAACATGGAGGTGAGAACACAGACGACGCGACACAGACTGTATGAAACACAGAGACTAAATACACATGAGGGATGATCAGGGGAAGTGGCCACACATGGGAGCACAGCTGACACACATGAACCTAACCTAACGACAGGACAGGAGAGGTGAAACTAAATACACTGACATTGAATACAGACTTTCAAAGTAAAACAGGAAACATGGAGATTAGGCATGACATGAACTAAACATAACCATGCAGACATGACTCATGACAGGTAGACGCACGAACCAGGGAGACGGAGTACAGGGGAAGCGACAGCATGAACTTGACAACACAAGACACACAGACATAAACACAAGGGAGGCTTAATACAAGGGTAATATAATTACAAATGAGCTGGAATAACTTAATGAACCTAAACAAACAATAACATCAAAATAGACTAAACACAAAGCACTGGGTCGCACGACCCAGGACCGTGACACAGATGTTTCGTTACCTCTCAGCCTCCTTTAGCAATAATGATACTTGTAGTAAATGTAGCCTATTTGCGGCTCAGGAGGCCAGATCACTGAATTGGAGACTCAGCTTCGCACCCTTGAAAAGCCGGAGGTCACGTCAACCGGAGGTCACTAAAATCAATATTGAATAGGTGTGTAATAGTGTGTTGCCAAAACAATGTTGGTGTCACGGTTGTTAAAGAGTGGACGCAGCCGCCCCTGTTGCACTATAAAGCCCAGGAAAGACACAGTCGGAACATGGAACTCACATTTTTCAGCCTTCACAAACAGGCGATTCTCCAATAGGCGCTGCAGTACGAGCCTCACATGCTCCACATGTTCTGCCGGGCTCCGGGAAAACACAAGGATGTCGTCTAGGTAGACAAAGACACAGTGGTTAATGAGATCACGCAGCACATCATTAATCATAGCCTGGGAAACAGCAGGGGCATTGGTGAGCCCAAAAGGCATCACCAGTTATTCGAAATGCCCAAGGTCAGTATTGAACGCTGTCTTCCATACATCCCCTTCATGAATTCGCACCAGGTGGTAAGCATTGCCGAGGTCCAATTTGGAAAAAATCGTGGCGCCCTGGAGGAGCTCAAAGCTGGGCGCCAGCAAGGGCAAGGGGTATTTGTTCTTAATCGTGATTTTATTCAAACCCCGGAAATCAATAAACGGCCGGAGCGTCTTGTCTTTCTTTGCCACAAAGAAAAATCCCGCGCCCAAAGGTGAAGTGGAGGGTCGAATGATGCTGGCTGGCAAGGAGTCATTAATGTTCCATCGACTCCCGCTTGGGCTTGGAGATGTTATAAAGCCGACTGGTGGGCAAGGGAGCGCCGGGAATCAAATCAATGCCACAGTCGTACGGGCGATGGGTCGGAAGCGAGGAGGCTTTGTCTTTGCTAAAAACCTGGGCCAGGTCATGATACTCAGGCGGAACACCAGACAAATCAGGAGGTGCAACAGGCCTGAGACCGTCGCACCCAGAGTAGCGGAGCGTAAGCACAAAGCGTGACACTGACTGCTCCACCCTGAAATACGGCCCTTGGCCCAGTCGATCTGCGGATTACGTTGTGGCAGCCAGGGATAACCCAACACAAGGGGAGCATCAGGAGATTTAAAAAGAAATAAACTGAGCTGCTCTGAGTGATTGCCAGAGAGGGTGAGTGTGATGGTTCGAGTGCAGTGAGTGACCGTAATCAGTGGGCTGCCGTCAAGAGCCGAAACCTGGAGAGTTTCGGGGAGAGGAACAATGGGTACGGCTAATTTGAGAAGGGTCTGGCTGCAGCCACTGTGGAGCTCCACAGTAACCGGATACACGTGACCTCCACACTAACCGGAAACACGTGACCTCCACAGTAACCGGAAACACGTGACCTCCACAGTAGCCGTAAACACGCATGGATACCGTGGAAGTCTTGCAAGTTGATCGCAAAGGTTGGGACAGAGTCTTTCTTAAATAAATTTGCCGTTAGTGATTTCATAATTCTAGGAATCGTCTAGTTTTCTTACAGTGATCATGTTGCCACTTTTTTTGTGTTACAACAACATTCCTTCTTGTTTTAATGTTTTTTCATCGTGCTCCATGGCAGAGAAACACACAGATCAATATCTCATTGTCGGCACTGGGTCAAGCTGTCGTAGGTAAGTACATGTGTTGTCTCATGACCAGAACGCTACCATTGTTTACATGTTAGATTTGTTCCTATCTGTGTGTGTATATTCTTTTTTTTGTGTACCTAGCCCCACAGGTGTGCAATAAACCCAGAGAAATCACAGAAACGGTGTTGAACCCAGCACCTTCAATGTCTGGTGACACTGGTAAAATTTCTTAATTTGAATAGTGATTGTCATATATAGGTGAAATAATAATCTTGCATTCATTATCTTGTTGTAGTTGATGGCTCATAAACGAATTTGTTACATGCTGTTTCAAATGAATTTCCTTCTATAAATAGTGCTTATTTTTCTTGCATTTGTTTGCATTTAATATGCATTCTATGTAGTGTTTTGTCTGAAACCTGTTAAAATCCCTATAGAACCTCAGGAAAGAGTTGACAACAAGAAAGCCAATTCGAGATTCTACGTCCCATTATTGCATATATGCAACAGCTGGCGATAAGATCTAAAGGCCAAGCTCGAAAACAAATAGCCTCAATATACATATAAATCGCAGCTAGCATTATTGCATACAGTCCCATCAACAGCCCGGGCCATACAAGCATCTAAACGGCAGCTCCAAACAACAATTAGAGCCTTCATAACTGAATAAGAATATATAAATTATAAATTACATTACCACAGGTAACAGGCAGAATAACTACAAGTAACAAACACACATACATATACATACATATATATCTACACACACATGTACATATATGTACATACATACGCACACTCTTTTTTTTCTTTTTTTTTTTAATCCATACCAGCAATGGTAAGAGAACAGACATTACAGAGCACACTAAAAAACCATCATTGAGTATACTGTGACCAGACCAACTGTTTGTAGAGAAATTTAAATCTATGAATATTTTTGCATTGTTTCAGTTGTAAACTCAGACTGTTCCAGATTTTCACACCACATACAGACACACAAAAACCTTTACGGGTTGTTCGAGTTCTGGGTAATTTGAATTCTCCAAATCCTCTAACATTATAAACCTTTTCTCGAATTTCAAATCTAGTTTGTAAATTTGCCGGTAAAAGTTTAGTAAAAGCTTTATACAAAATTATGGATGTATTGTAATTAACCAGATCCTGGAATTTAAGTAACTTTGCCTGAAGAAAGAATTTGTGAGTATGATCTAGATAACCAGCCTTGTGAATAATACGCAGTGCTCGTTTCTGTACTGTGACTAATGGATTAGTTGTATTTTTATATGTTTTCCCCACACTTCCACACAATATGTAAGATATGGAAGAACCAGGGTACAGTACAGAGTACGAAGTGCATCTTTATCAAGGAATTGTTTCACTTTGTTCAAAACTGCGAGGCTTCTGGAAATTTTGGTTTTTATGTGTCTGACGTGGGGTTTCCATGAAATTTTATTATCAATTACGACTCCCAAAAATTTGTTTTCACTCACATTATCAATTGGTACACCTTCAATGATAATTGGTAATTCTATATTATATTTTAAATTACCAAAAAACATTGCTTTAGTTTTATTTATATTTAATGATAATTTATTTATGTCCATCCATTTTTTTATTAATTGTAGCTCCCTGTTTACAGTCATTACAAGATCAGTATAATCATCGCTACTGAAAAATTGTTGTGTCGAAGGCCTTTTTGAGATCAACAAAAATACCAACTGCATATTTATTTTTTCCAGTGATCAGTAATTTCTTCTACTGCCTCAATTATCGCCATTGAAGTGGTTCTTTGGTTCTGAAACCATACTGACCAACATTTATTATTTGATGTTTTTCAAGGAATTTTTCTAATCTTGAATTAAAAAGTTTTTCTAGAATTTTTGAGAATTGAGGCAGTAGAGAAATAGGCCTATAATTGGTAAAACTGTGTTTGTCATTACTTTTATATAGTGGTATTACTTTCGCAATTTTCATTTTTTTTGGAAAACAACCGGACTGAAATGATAAATTACAGATATATGTTAAGGGACTAGCAATATTCAGAATAACCTGTTTAACTACAGACATATTTATGTCATGATAATCCATTGAAGACTTACTTTTACATTTTAATGTGATATTTATTACTTCTTGCTCATTTGTAGCTGAGAGGAACAGTGAAAAGGGATTTGATTTTATATTCTGATATTTTCATTTTTATGACACGGGATGTCCGCTGCTAGTTCAGGGCCAACATTTATGAAGAATTTATTGAACCCATCGACAATATTACTCATGTTGTGATTTTCACCATTTGCATCAGTAAAATATTCAGGATATGATGTTCCAGAAGATCCTTGTTTAATTAAGTTGTTTAACACATCCCAAGTTCCTTTTATATTGTTTTTATTTTCATATAATCTTCTTCTATAATAAAGTTGTTTGCTCGTTCTTATAATATCAGTCAATTTATTTCTATATGCTTTATATCTTTGTTCCACTTCTTTTGTTTTTACTTTGATAAACTGTTTATACAGATTGTTTTTCTTTTTGCAAGCATTAATAATTCCTTTTGTGAGCCAAGGACTTTTTATCTTTTTTTTCTTTGTCATGTGTTCGTTTACAGGACAATGTTTATTGTACCACATAGTAAAAATATCTAGGAAATTGTCATAAGCCTTGTCCACATCTGACTCTTCATACACCGAACTCCAATCTTGTTGTGCTAAATCGAAATTGAAGGCATGAATTGCTTCTTCATTTATTGTTCGTGTCATGTTTCGGCTGTGTGGCAGGCAGGAGAGGACCCAAACGCAAACTCACGGAGACAAAACGTAAACTCAAAAACACAGCTTTAATGCTGGCAAAAGGTGAAACACAAAAACAGTACTAAACTAAACTGGGAAAGCTAAACATAAAGTATACCAGGAACCACGGGGAGAATCACACACAGCATGAGGGAGACTACGACACTGACAAAGAGAAACACAGGGCTTAAATACACAGAGGGATAACGAGGGAATGAGACACAGAAGGAGGGCACAGCTGGGAGAAATCAGGACTGACGAGACAAGACGAAAGCTAGAAACACTCACATGAGGCATGGACCTTCAAAGTAAAACAGGAAGTATCACACAGAGACGCGAACTAGACACAGTGGAGACAGCAACTAAGAAACAGAGACAAACCATAAGGCAGAGGTCTAAGAACCAAAATACACAGAGGGAAATACTCAGCTTTGAACACAAGAGACTAGACTAGAGGGAGTAACAAAAGACCAACCATGAGAACATAATGCACAATGCAGGGTGACAGAAAACAAGAAACTCAAACATGCAAAGACACACCATAAACAGAACAGAGGGGGCACAGAGAGACATGAAGGGCAGGGGAGACTTAACATGGGTTGAAACACAAGGGGGAACTAATAAGCAAATCAACATAGGAGGCCTAATGAGCTAAACATACTATAAACATCAAAATGAACTAAAACTCAAAACACTGGGTCCTAAGACCCAGGATCGTGACAGTTCGCTTTGCTATCATGATCTTGGTATCTATTTTTTTTAAATCACAGTCACACAAAGTAAAAACTGGTAAGTGGTCAGTTATATCACAGACAAGCAGGCCACTATTAATTTGGAAATCCATGACATTAGTAAAAATATTGTCAATAATAGTGGCGCTATGTTAAATTAATTAACTACCCTATAGAGAGAAAGTGGCGTATTCTTCTTCCACTCCTTTGACAAGAAATTTACGTTCATTAGTGTTGAGTTGTCTTTATTTTACTTTAACAAAGTATATAACTGTCAGGTGTTCCTTAGTTGGTTAGATATTGTGTTTGTTTCTTCAAAACAAAATCATTTATTCATAAATTATTTTCCAGATAATTTACCTTGGTGCTGGAAATAATAACAAGGCATCAACTGCATTAGGCTTCTTTGTCAGCTCTGTTGAACAGTTTGGCTTTCCTAAAGCCAAACTGTAATGTACAACCTTGATACATGCTATATTATTAGTCAACCTTCTGAAAACTTGTTTGTATTCTATTTCGTCATGCAGAGTTAGAGGAGACCAGGGTGTCGAAAATGTTTGCATTGCTCATTGCATGTTTACTGTTCGTGGTTGTGGCAGAGCAAGCTACATTTCAGGAAAAAGTGTTCACAATCAAAGGTAAGTTATATATATTAGCATTATAATATATATATATATATATATATATATATATATATATATATATATTATATCTTGTAGAACCCAAACAATCAATCTCACATTCTAATCAACTTTGGACTATTGGACTTCT